CTTGGTTCGGAAGTAACTCGCTAGACATATCGATTTTTGTATTGCAAAGGAAGACATAACCAATTCCTTCTTGAGAACTAGTAGACCTTCACCAAAAACAAACACGCTAAACTGACTACCTACTAGAGAGGAGGCCACGAAGAGCTTCCGGTTCTCTACCATACTGTTTTCAATTTTACCCAAGTGAACCAACAATGACGCAAGTCTAATAGACAGTTCGCCCAAAATAATTTCTTACCTAATAGTCGTTCTTAAAATAAAATATTTCTTTCGTTACATAATTTCTGGTGGCTGGAGGAAGGACGAAGAAAAGTAAGAAAAGTATTTTCGTGGAATATGTTATGATCCATCTAAAATAAACGTGAAATTTCATTCAGCCAATCATTATCCAGCTAATTTAGTCACTATAAATTTTGTGCTGGGTCACCTGATTTATGTTTATTTATCATATAGAAATTAAATTTTATTAATTATTTTAATTATTTTACACTATAAATTATTCCATGTTATGACTTATAATGCTAAAGTATTGCCTCAATGCATCTGCCAAAGTTTCCGATAAAGCATTAATATCTCTTAAAACGACGTAATAATCAAAAGGAAATGTATCTAAATATCTTTCCATCTGTATTGTCATTCGCCCATTAACTGATTTGTATCTTACTTGATTCATTGATATGATAGAATCCTTTCCTGGTTTGTTATCAACTATTATAAATACTACCATTATTTGTGATTCAGCAGCTTGTCGAACAAGAGTTTTAAGATTTTCATGATCCTCACAAACACCATCCGAAATTATAAGCTGAAGTTGCCATAATTCTTTACTTTGTGCACCACTACTAAAATTATTCCTAGCGTTTTCCAAAAGTGTGATTGAGGTTTCCATGAGGGAACGAACATATGTTTTATTCTGTTCGAATGTAAATTGTTGTAATATTTGAGCTCCTGCCTCACTACTGAATGGACGGTCAAAAGGATGAAGCAATTGAACTTTTTCACCAAAGCTGATAATTGAAATATCTCCAACTTCAAGCTGCGAAAGTGCTTTGGAGATAAGTGCTAAAGTTTCATAAGCTAAATGAATCGAACGAGTTTCACACATTGATTTCGAATCATCAACAGCAATCATGACTTGATATTGTCTTTTACTCGGTTTGGTACGACGAAGCCATATTTTATCCTTTTTGAAATCACTAGCAATATATGGAATGATCTTTTTCATATTAAGACGTTTTCCAGTTCGATAATCGCCTTTAAGTTTTGTAGCAAGTGTTGGCTCAAGAATTAATCTTAATTGCTCACAGAGTCCATTTGATAGATCATGAGTAAGGATCTCATATTTATGCCACAATTCTCTAGCCTTAGTAATATCTCTACCAGATTGTCTCCAATCTGCTAATTTAACTTCTAAATCGTGACGTAAACTCATAATCTCTTCATAAGGTAAAGGTTCGTGCGCAAAGCGAGAAGAATCAAAACATTGAGGATTAGATTCTTCGTCGAATAATTGTTCATCTTCATCCTGTTTTAAAATTTGCTTAGAAAGAACAGCTCCCTTTTCATGTTCATTACTATAGTCATGATCATTCATTAGAAGGTCAAGAGACATTTCATTCTTATGTTGGTTATAGTCGATTTCATCGTCTTCACCTGCATAATTTGCATCATTACAGCATGGTTCATCATTATTGATAGCTCCAATCTCTTTTGATTGATCCTCTATTGCTGCTCCCATTGTCTGAAGGTCATGAGTTTCCTCATCGTTTTCAAGAAATTCGAACGTTTGATTTTCATTTATGACCTGCTCTGAGTCTTGTGCAGGGCTCTGTTCTTGTGAGGATGTGCGTTCATCTCCTTTAATTATATCGTCAAGACGACGTTTCCATTGTTCCAATGCATCTCCAAGACTTCGATGTGGATTGGCATCTTTTGGACCTTGATCACTTTCTTTATTCTGGTTCTCAATGACTTGTTCACTTTTATCTGATTCATTGTTATTATTCGAGGTTGACTCACCTCTATGCTTGAACCGTCGTGAATTATCATTATTGTTATCAGAGCCTTTATTTTCAATTTCTTTCAAAGATTGTTCGACTTCATTTCTAGAGGATGAATTATCTGCTTTACCAGATTCTCCGTCAACACCAAATGCATTTTCTGCTGGTGTATCAGAATTTGGTTGTTCTTGGTTAGATGAAGTATTCTGATCTTCTTTTTCAATATCCTTATCCTCAAATTGATTATCAGGCAAAGGTCGAATGTTACGATCAGGTGTTTCTTTTGACATTTCATCACCTTCAAAACTTTCTTGTTGATCTTCAACAATCTCATTACTTTCTTCGACACCTGTCCTTGCCTCATTAGAAACTGAATCATCAATTGGCTCAATATCATCGGTTTCCATTTCATCAAAAGCCTCTTCATTGGATTCATTTTTATTATTTTCAATGTCATCTTTTGTTTGTTGTGCATTTTCAACTACTGATTCATCAATATCCATATTCGAGGGTAGATCATCTCCATCATCCATGTTTTCATGATCACTCACGTCTCCTATATCATCAATCATCATATCCTCGGGAAGTTCTAAAGTTTCAGCTTGAGGTATATCAACATCAAAGTAGTCATGTTTATCATTATATTCTTCGTCAGTATTATCGCCTTGGCCTTCTGATTCAATCAGGTCTTGTTGATTTTCATCTACGCCCATTTCTTCATTTATTTGGGAATTTTGTGTGGTATCTCCTTGATCTTCCTTAGCAACAACGTCCGTTTCATTCGGACATTCGGAATCTTGTTTAGTATCAGCTTTTTTCCCACTATCCTCTGCATCATTTGCAGAATCATCTCCCCACATTTTTTCATCTACAGCATCGGGATCGTTATCATCAAATTCACCGACTTGTTCTTCTATATCTTCAGAATTTTTTTCATCTGATTCATTATCATCTTGATTTCCATCATCATATATGTCTTCCATTGTTCCTTCAAAATCATTTTCCATTTCAATTCCTTTATCTTCTTTTGATTTCAGTTGATCGTCAGTTGAATCTTGGCTTTTTTCATTTTGATTTCCTAACACTTGTTCCTCATCCTCAATCTCTTCGCTTACATCCTTAGTACCTTCACCTTCTCCAATACCGGTACCTTGAACATTCTCATCGACATCACCTTCACCATCATTCGACTCCGTTTGTGGCATACAATATCCTTTCATGAAAACTGTAGCAAATGAATTACAAAGTACGTAGGTTAATTTGCATAATGACTTATGATGATAGATAAAATCATTCAGATAATATTGAATGACTAAAGAGTATTGTTGAATAAACGGAAAGGTTCTTTGAAACAAATTTGAAATTAAATCTTGACAATCCAAGTTGTTAAACCTTTCGTCATCCATCAAATTAACAAGTAGATCATGTAGAAAGCTGAACCTTTCAAGGATCAAAGATATACGTAAATGCTTGCCAAAGTTCGAAACGCGTTTGTGTTCTTGAAGTATAAACCCATCAGGGATTTCCTTATTATCCTCATTTTCTTCTTCATTAACTGAAGAAATACTCGAAACATCTTTGGTTGATTCAGCGGAGAACTTTCTTAGATCCTGAATAGCTACGAGGATTACATCCATTAAATCATTGACTTTTTTGATAACATTACTAAGTATCATCATTGTCTGGTTTTCCGGATTCATTTCATTATGTACTGTTTCAGTAAAATGAAGATTTCCAATAGTATTTTTAATATAATCACAAATTGGCGTCAAAATATGATAAGAATGCTTATCTCGAGAAGATTTGGCAAATTGATAAAGATTATTTATTAACGCTACATTATCTTTGATTAGTTTTATTATATCTTTTGTGATCACCGCCTTTTTTCCTGTAGAGTATTCTGGAAACAAAACGTCTCGATCAAACACACGAGCAAAGTCTTTACGAATTAAAGAAATTTTATCAAACCAACAATGTAATTCTGTTCCGAGCTCTTCAAAATTATTTGAATGTTCATACTGCTTTTGTACATCAAAAATTATACACGAGTGAGACAATAACGAGACCAGGTCATCCAAAATTTCCTTGAAATTCCACGACGAGCGCACGTCAAGTGAGTGAAATGACAAAAATTCTTGCACTTTTGTGTAGGAATATTCTGCATTATATGATGAATAAATCCTCGAAAATTGTGTCAGGACTCCTGAAAATCCAACGAATTGTTGATCAAGAACTTGCAGATGTTTACGTTCTAGAATTATAAGATACAACAAATATTCGGAAAAACCAAGTCCTTTTTGAACTTCCCGAGAGGTTATATCCTTTGAATGACTGACTGCCACATTTCGAAGATGAATCATCCTCGCAATAATCTTATAGTAATATTCATCAGCTTTTGTCCAGGTAGAAATGATATCCTTCCTTTCTTCAATAGATGATGGATTCTTGAAGTTACTTATCATAGGTAAAGAATTTTCCAATTCTAATCTAGGAAGCTGTAGCATATATCCAACAATATTTTGCTGCTGTTCAATTGTATTCTTATTAGGAAAGTAGTTCAATCCAAGACGTTTCAGCTCCCTCAAAAGATCAACCATGGATTTCTTTTTAATTAACTTTTGATTCTTTACGGAACTTTTATTGTCATCGTTCATTAAAGTTGGCGTATCTTCTTGAAGCTTTTTGATACGTAAAATTATTTCGGTGGCAAAATCATCAAGAGCTTGGTTATAAACGGGTTGTCTTTTGATAAAAATGTCTTCACGACAATATGAACGAAGCTTCTCTAAAGTATACTTGATATTTATAAAACGTTCAGGAATAGGCAAAGCTTGTTTGCTAATCGAACTTTGCAATTCTAAAGTTCTTTCGGCTAGCTCAATCGGTTCACAATCAGAAATCCATTTCTCGAGGGAATAATCCAAAGGAGTCATAACTTGCTCGTTAATAATCTTTTCTTTAGGATAAATCGCATTCACATTCGTCTGATAATCTGTTATAACATCCATGATTGGTTTGTTAAGAATATCTTTGTATTTTCGAATACATTTATTTAACTGCCTATGGGTTCTCTGGGCACTTTGTTTTAATGAATGAATATTAACATCTTTCCAACTAGCAATCTTCACAAATTGCTTCAACTCTTTTTCAATAGACTTACGAAATTCGTTCAAGGTATTGGCATTGTGAGTTAAAAATTGCCCATAATATTTATAAATATTTAACAATGCATCAGCAGCCTTGGAGTACAGTGAGACATGCGTAGAATCAATAAGTACTTTAGTATTACTCCTCGTGTGAAAACAATCTTTAATACAAAGTTGCAAATAAAAAGCATGGATCAATTCCAATCGACCTTTGAAATCACCCATTCTCGAGGATTGTAAAAATTGATCAAGTGTTCGTAGTATTTCAGAGATATGATCCTTGAAAATTTGATCAGTTCTTTCGGATATTTCAACATTGATACTAAAGGAATTTATAGGACGAATGATACAACTATAAAGGTGAAACCACCACTTGGATGCAGACCTCTCATAATACTCATTTTGCGCAGTAAGTAAGTTTGGCCAACAAGTCAACTCTAATTGACGCCATTGTACGATAAGAAATGTAATCTTTTCTCTATGGAGCTTTAATGATACATCACGATTAGCATAAGCTTCCCAATCTTCTGTCTTTTGTAATAAGATTTCTAATCCAGTGAGAAATTTTGCAAGAGGCGAACTTAATGCGAACCCCTGAATTCTTTCACATATTGTAAAAAGATGTTGAAGAACAGCGTGCTCAGGCCACATTTCAAGTAATTCTTTGACGCGTTGTTGAAGCTCAGATATTATTGGTACCAACTTCTTGGATTCGATGATATTTTGATCTTTATAGAAATCATACATTCTCACAACATTTTTGACATTGTTGCTGGTATCGTCCCCAGGCTCGATACCGTCAATTAACCATTTTTTCAAGAGAAACGTTCCTAGAATCTGAGAAGTTGCGATTGCTTCGTCAAATTCTTCTGGATAAACATTACCAGCGATCAACGATAAATCTCGCGCCATAACAAATGATTTCCAGAATACTTGTTGAGTTGACAAGTCATGATCCAAAGTCTTCCGCGATTTCAAGTCGAAATCAGTCATAAGCTTTGAATATAATTTTCCTATCTCAAAGAGAATTTCCTCATTCACAATTGAGACATTTTCCTCAAATTGAGTGAAATCTGCATTTCCTTTATTATCGGAATCAATCATTGTATCATCATTTATATCCGCGAAATCATGACTAAAATCTGGAAACATTTGCTTGAATTCATATTCGGAATACTGTTCTTCGGTGATGTTATTGTGTGTTTTTGTTTTGTTCCTATATAAACTTTCATTCTCTTGAGCAATTTTATTTTTTTGCTCTTCAGCAGCAGCATAAATATCAGAAATTTCTCCAAAAATACGTTGGATGGTATCAAAATCTTCAAGGATAATATTTCCACGTTTTGATATATTATAATACATACAATACAAAACGACGATGAGATATTTGAGATATTGATCCCATTTGTCTGGCTTAGAATGTTGAGAAAAGATGAGATCTTTGATCATCACAAATGATTCTTGAGCTGTAATAATGTCAATGCATTCTTTAGGACATCCTAACTTAGTTATATCTATCAAAGATTTCACAACTTTATATATTAATTTGTCACGTGTAACAACTAAATGTTTGCAGGTAGTAGTTATAATTCGAACCCCGTATTTAATTTGATGAAGAGCAACATATAATGGTTGTAATAAATCTTGATAAAGGGGATAGTTTGTTGACATTCGTTGGATGAATTGCATTAATTTTTCCTGAAGCAAACTTTCCCGTTGAAGAACAGCCGAATCATTTCCATTCTCAAAATCACTCAAAAGTTCCAATATATGTCGTTCATCAATGACATTACTACAAATGTAATGAACATGTCTGAAAAGTTCATTAAGTTGCGACTGTTCAGGTCTTAAGGATAAGTTAACCGACGCATGTCCGAAAAGTAATTCAATTTTCTCCAAATTTTCTCTGCAGTCTTTTATTTTGCGATTTTCACATTCTCCAGTGAAACTTTGTTCGATCTTTGTTCGAATATCAATTTCACGCTCCAAGTTAGATTTTTTGAACAAAAGAAATTGACACCTCAAACGTGCTTCAGCTGTCGGATCAAGTGGGAAATTTGGTATGTATAAAGAAATAAATCCTAAAGAAAGAAAGATCCAAACTTTGCCTATTTTTTGATAAGTATTTTCATTGAGTTGTAACGGATTATACTCTTTTAATATTTGAATCATCAAAAGAATCGAGGGTATCACCCATTGATCTAAAACACTCCGCAAAATAGGGTCAACTATTTCTTTAAAGCTACTAGACACAACATGAAGAGACTCTAGTGCCATTGAAACCGTTAATGATTCATTATCGATGATATTGTGATTTAACGAGGAATTAACAAAATCAGTAACAATATCAAGTCTTCCATTAATTTCACGGAAAATCTCTTGTGGAAAACTCTCCTTTAATGAGATAAGAATCTAGGAAGAAAAATGATTGTTATTATTATTATTAAAAAAAAATAAAGATAATGTTACGAAATGAACGGCTATTTACTTACTTGTTTAAGTTGTTGAATAAGACATGCCAAATCCATACATCTTCTATTGACCCTAGACAGAAATTCATCTCCGGTGTGTTTACAATATTCCACAAGTTGGGTTTGTATGGTATTGAAAGATCCGATTGACATGAACTGTATTCGATGGCTATAAAATAAAAACTAGATTAGAGCATTATTCTTGATATCAACTCAGGTGGAATGAATTCTACTTGCGTGTAATTAAAATAATAAAATCCTAAAACGCTTTGAAATAATCTTCCAGGCCCTCCAGTATTCTAAAGTTGGAAATGGATAATCAATAACTTGATTGCAATTTAAATAAAAAAAAAATAACATACCTTTACTAATAGATTTGTAACTAAATTCTCTTCATTAATGTCTAAATTGTTGAACGAATTATTCCATACTCGATTGTGCCATCCATATATAATATCTTGTATGATATTATTGAATATCATTTCCGATTTATTATCTACTAATAATTAAGAATGTGTCATTGTTGAATTTCCGAATTATCGTGTAAATATTAATGTTTTCAACATATAATCACCTTTAGAACCAGGTCCGTATATCCATAAAAGTCGTTGGTGAGGGACAAAATCTAAAGGAAATCGGGAGCAATTTTTTAAAGAAAAATCGCGAAATTCCGAGATTTGAGTAATAATCTCGCTATAACTTTCCTTGATAAAATAAATAAAAACATTAAACATTAGAATAATTTAAGCAATAACATGTATATTTTACTTTTTCGGTGAATCTTACATTGTTCAAATCGGTTTCCTGTGAAGCTACCAGCTGTAATCGTAATATAATTTGCATCTCCCGAATTAAATTAAAATAATCCATTAAGCAAGGTAATGGGTTGATTTGTTCTACGGAATGTGATTTTCCACGCGAAATTTGTAAATGTTTTTGAATATGCTATTTAATAAATAAATAAAATAATGTAATCAATTTATATAGTTATAATGGATAGTTTATTACACAATCAATACTTGCCTCGGGAATCTTTTGTAAAGAAGTTAACAATTCGGTCGATTCAGGAGTTTGATTTTCATTAATGAAATATAACGTTGCAACTGCATCTATCAACATCACTTTTAACTCTACATCTCTTTCATCATCTATTGATAAGGTTGGTTAGATATAAGTAAATGGATAAATCGACTAAAAGATTAAATAAATTCTTCTTACCCTTAAATTCCAAGTTTGTGTCAGAATTGATCCCAACTTCAAAGAATTCTTGTTTTAATTTAAACAAATCAATTCTTGAAAGCGTTATATGATGCAAACGTTTCCATAGAATATTCATATATTTTCCTGTCGTTAATACAGTGCTCTCAGTTATGCTATCAAATACACTAAGCAAAAGTTTGGCGTGCTCATCAAATTTATCAACCAAACGCTTTAAAATTTCTTTAAAAATTTTGGTGTTCACATATAATTCACCAAGATCAAGAGAATTTTGTTGCAAACATTCCCATAAAAATTCGTGATAATCAAACAAACTATTGAATAATTCAATCTATAATAAATGAAATGTTAGCTTTTTAAAGAAATATTTTCTAGGGTACAACTTCATGATTATTAAATAATCTTACGTCAATTTCCTCGTAATTCCCTCGATTTATCCATAATCTTACAAAACTTTTAAGTTCTTGTAAGAATGGAAAAAGATTAGCAACAACTCTATTACTTAGTTGTTCCTCCGATAAATTCCCGTGATTATAACGATATGATTGTTGGGATAAAGTCAACTTGGACACCTTTTCTCGTGATGCCTTTTCATAAGAGAATCTTTCGACGTAATCTTGTCTTTGCAACCTTTTCATAAGGTTAAAAACTTTAATCTTAATAGAATATTCATTCCACAAATTATATATTGTCTCACTCTTATCACTATTGTGCTTGTTATGTTCTAAGAAACTGATCGATTTAACTAAAGGATCATTGCTAATTATATCAAGTGGCTAAAAAATATATATAATAACATTAATTAAATGAATTTAAAGCAATATGACATAAATGTATATTCACCTGACATGACATGTGAGATGTATCCAAATCAATGGACTTTGCTAACCGATTTTTAATTTCGTTTAAATACGAAACGAGTGGATGCTCGATCAAGGTATCATTCATGAATTTAATATATTCTAAGACATTTACATCTTGATTTACCACCAAATCAAATGAACGAATTAGATAAGAGACAAAGTCAAGCCAACGATTCCTCATAGATATATCTTCTAAGGAAGTATTTTCAACAAAATAGTCACAAGCTACCAGTAATTCTTTTAAAGGCAAGTCATTTAGGCCCAACTTGTCTAAACCATACTTGAACATAAGGTGTATCAAATAAGACCCTTGGGAATTGATCATAGACAATTTTGCTTCTTCCTTAATAAAAGAACCCCCATTAAATATTGGGTAATTCGTAGGGGATAAAGTGTGTATCAAGGCATTTTCTTTGAATTTCTTTGTAAAATCTTGAAGATACATCATTAGTCCATTTGGGAAGTGGTTAAAAAAATAAACCTGTCGAAGGGCCTTATGTAAGGAATGTGATAAACCTTCTCCTCGCTGAAGCATCTCAATAATAAATTGAGAAAATAAAATATATTCTCTTATACTTGGTTTCATGCTACTTAGCATATTAAAACTTTCATCCACATTAAATCGAAAATTATTAATAAAATTAGGAAGTTCTGAAATACGAAGACCAAGACCATTTCCAATTTTAACCATATCTCGCTGATTTTCGAAAATTTCTGTCTTCAATAAAAAAATTTCCACGCCACGATTTCTCATTGCTCTTGATAATTCACCATTTCTTGGATTAGTAGTCATAAATAACCTAAAGTTTTTATGTGGTCGAATAATTTTCACATCACCATCTATAAGTCCCCTCTCATTCACCATCAAAGCTCCGTTTGGTTCCATCAATGGATTAAGCCTGTCCAAAACAGATGGATTACAAAGGTTGGCGTTATCAATCAACAACCAATGACCATTATTAAGCGCGTTGATAAGAACTCCATCGATCCATTCAAAACGACCAGTTACCGGACCATTTTCAAGCGATTTAAGTGTTAGAATTTTATCCATTATAGAGCGTAGAGAACTTTGATGTTCATTATCAAATATTGAATGCAAATCGTACCCGATTATTATTTGTTGTAAAGTACCTAACAATTGATCGATTATTGCATAATCTAACTGAGACGAATAATTCTGACTAGTTATTGTACTTTGAGCACTACTTGTACTAAATTTAAGATGATTTTCTAAGGTAAATATTATATCGTTAAGCTCTCGCACGACTTGTAACGTATTGCCTGAATGCGAAATAAGAAGAAAGTCCTTTGTCACCTCAGTGGTTAATCTTCTTAATTCATCGACAACTACTTGTCGATGTCTAGCCAAATCCACTTGTTCAAATCCACCAAGTAATTCAATTGTATCAACCGAACTATTCATCGCAAACTCCTCAAGATAATTTCCAGTTAAATTAGCTAACAATCTAACAAGACTTGTTTTCCCAATTGCTTCATGCCCAGTAAGAATTACCATCCAATTAAATTCTACACATTTCATTAAGGACTCTAAAGGTTTTAAGTGAGAATGCAATATATGAAGTGAATTCCCCATAGATTTATATCCATAAGCAGGTCGACGATGAAGAAGGGAATGACCAATCTGGATATAGCGTGAATTAATATTAAAATAAGGATTCTTTGGCTGTTTATAGCTTGTTTCAAAAATTTCATTAAATAAATCAATAACACGATTTCTATCTTCAACAGTTCTCATTCTCTGCAAATAAATTAGGTCCAGATATTGATCAGGAGTGGAATTAAACCCGAGACCCTTATCATCATTTAAAAGCTCCAACCAGCGAAAAACATCACGTAAGTTAAATTCCCAAGGAGATCCATTTCTACCAAATAAACCCTTAATCATAGTGTCTTCATACATTCGATTGTTAAAGTCCAATATTTTCCCTAATAATGATTCATCAAATTGAGGAAATAGAGATTTAGCAATAAAAAGCATATCAGTCTTAGTAAGATGCTCTATGTAGACTTGAGTAAATCGATTGATAAAGGACTTCGGAAGCCCTTTTCTTCCTCCACCTTGATGTAAAGGATTCTGAGCGCCAAAAACACGGAATTCTTTAGAACATATGAATTCTTTGTCTAGTTCAGGTATATAAGCAGAACCACGATGATCTAAACATGAATTGAGACCTTCTAAAACTGATTGAGAAGCAAGATTTAATTCATCTAAAAGAACCCAATCCCCAGATTTCATTGCTTGAAGAAATGGTGCATCCCTCCATGCAAATTCACAATTACCACCTCCTTCTACGGGAAGATCAGAACCGAACAAATCCATCAAATCTGTTTGCTCGGATAAATTAATTCGAACGAGTTTATGTCCAGATGCTGCTGCTAATGCCGTGATTAAACTAGTTTTTCCTACTCCCGGACTTCCTTCCAATAATATTGGTTTCTTTAATTGCATAGCACGAAGCACACGCATTGCATTATCCAATGTTGTTGGCGCTTGCAAGGTAAAAGTAATTTGATGACTACCAAGCGTTCCTTTTGGTATATAAAATGGGTGGATTCCGAAAAATGACTCGGTAGAAAGAATTTTGCCTACATTGTTTTCACTTGCAAAACTTCGATTAACGACATTATCTTGTTTAAGATCACAATTCAAATCTATTAATTTTGCAAGACATTTCATTCGAAATTCCTTCAAAACTTGTCCAGATAATAATGACCCTGTTGTTGCATTGGAACCAAGACCATCAAAAAAAACAAGATATCCACCATGAATAAAAGACTCGTGTGAACCCAATTGTTCTATTGTAGAGTTCATGAATAAAACCCATGATAAAATATCTCGCAAGCTAATGGTGATAAGTTTATTGCCCAATGCATGAGAAAACCACTCTATAAAGTCAAGGATCTTTTGGCCATATCCTACCAAACTTTCATGTACGAAGCGTGACTCAATTATTTGCAATAAATCTTCACGATCTGCAACAGAAGGCACCCAAATTTCCGTGAATCGATTCCTTAATGCTGGTGACAATTCTTTCTTACCATAGTCACCACCAGGATTCATAGTTGCCAAAAATTGAAAACCGTCTCTTGCAACTAATTCTTCGACATGTTTACCACCTTTTTCTGCTAGCACTAAGATTCTATTTCGTTCAAGGACACTGTTGAGACGTTCGATAACAGAATCATCTGCCAAGGAAATCTCATCTAGTAAGAAGTTATTGCCATTTTTCATGGCTTGAACTAATGGACCATCATGCCATTCAAACATTGTGCGAGTCTGTTTACACCTCATATGTAAAGAAGCCATGGAATTAGCAATCTCTCCTATATCTTCACCGAACTCTTCTGTCCATTTCTCGTCTTTATAAAAATCCTGAAATAAAGTAGTCAGTTGATTCAGATCCATATCCTCTAAACATGTATTGTCTTGAGACACGTATTTTCTTAAAAATTCAATCAAATCGCGCTTGAGATCATTATTTACATTCCCTCTATTCCTTAATGGCCTTTGACTACCAAGTAAATCAGCCGTCTCGGTACTATGATGACAATTAACGATATGTAACACTTTATCATTTACTTCTGCTAACATTTGACACACTGTTGTTTTTCCACAACCAGTTTCACCAACTAATAAAACAGGTTCATTGAATTTCAAACATTGAGCAACTAAAGTAAATAAACGTTTCATAGACTTAGTCCACACGATATCAGTTTTGTCATGTCTCAAAGAAATATATTTTTTAAACTCTTCCAAATTTGAACAATCATATATTTTTTGCTCGTCAATTATTACTTTCATGACTGATTCTAAAACTTGTTTTACAATCAACTTCTCATCGGGTTTCCTTACTCTCTCAGCCAAGAGCATATATCCTTGCTCTGCTAATTCCTGATACCCCACAGCACCTCTCTCAGACCAACGGAACAAATCTCTCAAAGTAATGTATCCATGTTTTTGTTCAAAGATCCTTGTTCCTTGCCTTTTTGCCATCAAATGTTTATATACTTGTACAAGTCGTTTACAATAAGATGGAGCAATTTTACACCTTTCTGAAAGAATGGTTTCTAATTCATCCTCCGGAATGTCATCAAAATGCAATTCCAAAAATCTATTGCGAAAAGCACGTGAGAGAACTTTACGGCCTCCATATAATCCAGGAGGGTTCTGAGTTGCAAATAACATAAAATCTTTATGTGGTTTAACAATTTCTTGAGTTTCTGGAACTAACAATTCTCTGTTATCATCCAACAATCTATTTAAAGCTTCCAATACATCTGTTGGTGCCAAATTTAATTCATCCAGCACAATCCAATACCCTTTCTTTAAAGCTTCAATTAGCACGCCTTCTTGAAATTCGAGTTTACCTTCAGAATTAGAAACATAAGTTCCTAGATATTCTTGAATGTCTGTATGTTCATGATTATTAATCCTCACAAAACGATGTCCAGTACGCTTAGCTAGATATTGAATCATACTTGTTTTACCAGTTGAAGTAGGACCTTGAATTAGAACTGGAAATTTCCTACTCATGACAACTCTTGAAAGATTGTCCAAATTATTTTTAACAGATGGTGTCAAAATATAGTGAGGCATATCTTCGACAGGAAAATCTCCTAATTCGAGCCAAAAATATCCAAATTGAACGTAATTACCATTCGAAGGAAGTTTAGGAATTTGGGTAATCAAATTCCTTTGATTTTTAACACCATTTAATAAAAATTTTTCTACCAAACCCTTTAACAAAGTCTCACTTTCTTTATTTAATTGTGTTAAAAATGTCATACAAAATCCCTCATACATTGATCGTCTCAAGCCATAAGATGATGCTATTTGTGCTACGTAACTTAACGCACGAGTTAATGTTCTAATACTGAAATGAGGCATTTGATTTGCACCATCAGCAATTAAATGTTGCTTTTGTAATTCTTTGACAGCGACATAAAAATCTACAATATCTTCACACGCACGCTCATCACCATGAACGCAACCAACTATATATTGTTTGACTATAGCCAACAAATCATCACGTCTTTTATCAGGAGGATGAACAAACAGCTCAGTAAATCGATTTCTCAACCCTGGGGGTAAATCTCGCTTACCCACATCAGTAGCAGGATTCATACAAGCAAAAATACGAAAGTTTGGATGCCTTTTAACCGGTTCGATATCACCTTTTTCGGTCAATAAAAGTGAACCTTGGGAATCTTGAAGTATACCACTCAAGCATTCCAATGTTTCTGTAGTTGCCAAATTAATTTCATCCAAAAGTATCCAATCACCTTTTGTTACCGCTTTTGCTAATGAACCTTCTACAAAACTAAAAACGAATTTATTACGTATTTGATCCTGTCGACTTACAAACTCGTTAACCGAATTTTCAAATAATTTCCAACGATTCCGTAATTCAGGATTTGAAGACTTTCGAGAAGGATGATTTTGCAAAGAATTAATGCTTTGATCATCCATGTTTGTATCCTGATTTTGATCTCCATTGAATTTTTGTTCCGCCATTTTAATAGCTTGCTTCAATAGAGATACAAATTTATCGTATTTCTTAATAACATATACTTTTCGGACAGCTTCCAAGAAACGTGGATTTCGTCGAATAGAAAATGTCTTTTCAAAAAGTTTGTCAAATTCCTCTTTAATGGGACATGCAAGGACTCTAGCATCAACGGGTTTGAAACCTCCAAGAAGATCACTACTGTCACTTTGTTGAGATAAATTCACAACCACAAGTTTTTGATACATAATTTCTGCAAGATATTGAACCACCGTTGTTTTACCTGTACCAGTTTCTCCAACCAACAACACAGGTTCACATAAATGAACACACACAGCAATTTGTTCCATCAATTTTAAAGCATGGCCAGTACAAGCAAAAGGTCTTTTTTGCAATTCTCGTTTAATTATATCTTTTTTTCGACCTTTAGGAACTAAATTAACCCTTCCAATCGATATTATCTTATCATCAATTTTCATATCGGGTAAGTATGAATTTACGTATAAATAAACCCATTCCTTTGATATTTGAAGTGCGTCGCCAAGCCTTTCCAAAATCGCAATCCAACTCTCATAGTTAGAAATCATCGAACAAAAACAATCAGCCGCTTCTTTAAACAAATCTTCTCTTATATTCTGCTCTATTCCCCGAGATGTAATTACATTATTCCTTGAAACCAAAAGAACCTCTATTCTCTCACACCACTTCATCAAATCACGTGTTGAAATATATCGTACTAAATTCGACGAAAACGATGATGAATCATGATAAACAGATATTACAGTATTAAACACATTCATAATATCTGTTACCAGTTCTTGTAAAATGGTAAAACGATTTCTAACAACGTAAGTTAACTCATCGTTGCTCAGTGGATCGACTTTGATTTGAGTCCAAAAAGTATTGCCAAAACTTGAATCATTTACACGTTGATGTATTAATCTTTTTCCACCGTCAACCGGCAACAAGCTTTTTGTTGCGAATAATTGAAATCCTTGCTTCGCATTAATCTTTTCACCTCTACTAGGTATAAAAAGTTGACGCGTTTCAAGCAAAGGGAGAAGAACTGATAAAACTTCCATAGGAGCAAGATCTATATCTTCAATTAAAACCCACCGTCCATCACGAACTGCAGTCGTAAGGATACCAGGTTGCCAACGAAAAGAAGCAGGAGTAGATGTAGAAACATAAGTTCCTAAAAGAATTTTTGAGTCTGTTTGATCCCCTAAATGAATTTTTACAAGATCATGTTCACGTCCGGATATTCTTGCAATTTCCTCGACCAAAGCGGATTTACCCGCTCCAGTGACGCCTTCAAGCAAAACCGGGGATCCAATTGAAATCGCCAAACAAATGGAGTGCAAATTACATCGAGTCGTATCTGTTAAAACAAGGCGCTGCTTATTCGATACAGATCTCTCCGAACAAATAAATGACTTTGGCAATAACACTCCAGAAATATTCACAGTCAATGAAGACAAATCTGATTCATTAAATCGCCAATATTCTGAAAATTCTTGACTCGTAAAATCATTTAATAGGAGATGTGATTGTTGCTTTGCAAGTGATACTTGCTCCAAAAGCCTTAAATAAATAATTGTTACGTAAAGATGTGATCAAGATAATTACAGAGAATGGAAATCGTAACTTACGTTAACATTCTAATATCCTGTGTACCTCCATGATTCCATTCAATTGAGATTTTCTCATTATTTGCGCCAACCCAAAATTGAAGTGCCTTTTCCCTTTGTTCATCACTCATATTGAATACGATACTTAAACACCAAATTGATAAATATCGTATTGTCTTATTAGCATGAACCAACAATTGAAAAAGAGGTGACCAATTCCACAATTTTATAAATGTGCTTCCAGAAAACCTCAAAAGTCGATAAGCTGTTAATAAAAGTTGTTGTAAATCTTTAATTTCCCTGGAATTCTGAAATAACATAGATAATTAAGAATGATGCAGAAGCTAGTGATTATAATCTGAAATTATGATATCATACTTCATCGTTTATTAAGATATCTTCTTGATTTAAGAAGTTGAGTCTCTCTAGTAATGAGGGTGTTTGTGAAAAGAATGTAACCGCAAAACTAATGTAATGATACCAAAGAACCATAATAATAATTAGAAGAAAAATAACTATAAAAAAAAAAAAAAAAATTAAACTCATTACCTTAAAAGTTGAGGCGTTGTAGGAAGTAATAAACTAAATGCATTAGCAACACTTTCAACCTTTGACACGGCATCGTAATCAACTTTCATAATGTCATTATTATCGTTTGATAATAACCAACGCGAAACCAGATCAATTAAAATTGGTCGAAATAAATTAGCTATAATAAGAGTTAATGATGGATTCAAAATCAAATCTGATATACAATCTAATACTTTATTAGTATCCTTTGATTCATAATTAATATTATTTATTATGTATGAGTTCAAAATTTCACATTGCCTCAAATTAACCACCAAACAGTGATTTTGTAGATTAATTTGTTCAATTTTTGATAACAAAGTTTGACAAGCGGTTTTCATGTCGATACTTAAAGGGTCATATAAATTAAATTCATTTAATATACACTTTTCCTCTTCAATATCCACCTCCATATTATTATTTGATAAAATTTCTTTCTGAAAAGTCATAATTCAAGCAAATTTGATATCAGAGGCTGCAAAAAAAAAAAAAAAATTTCAATCAATTTATATGTTTGATCTACCAATTAGAATTCGATTCATATGTCTCACATCACTAATTAATAAAAGTGATAAATGTGAAATTTGATCGACATGTCAATATACGAAAATAGTGAAATAGTGATGATATCAAATAATGCATGATGACGTATATTTTGATTTTTTATTACAGGTTTTATAGGACGTTTTTGTGTTATTTTATTTACTACCATGATGAGATTATGTACTGTATCTTTAAAGGGATATAGCTATAGATAAACATGCAGAGTTTAGATAATTTTAGTATTATTAGAAAGAGTCTTGTTTGTCCTCAGAGCATTAAAATTATTTAAATTGGATCATAGGAAGCTTGGATAATAATTTTTGAGCATATTATAACATTTATTTATAGTTTTCGTGATTTCTCATTCTTCTGTAATTCATTTTGAACAAATTTACTTTATAAAAACAGATATAATGGTTCTTTTCAAGTGGTTTATAAAATAATTTATTTATTATGAAATTTGTGTGGAAAATTTTTCTTTTTGAATTCTTTTAACGAAATTTTTTAGCTATGGTGATAAATGTGACAATGATCGACAGCCCACAGGTGATATAATTGAAGTGAGACAGATCGGCCCATATATTAAGTAGCGATTACGCGAGATATGGTTGGTCGAAAGCAATCAATATTGTGTTACCTTCGATCCCGATCTGTCACTTCGATCCGATCTTGATTAATTGTGATCAAAATAGTGATAGATTCGTTGATCACATCGAAATTCAAATAGACAGAGTTTATTTCTAACATCCACAGATTATATATGGGAATGTCACATACATATAGAAAATCTGAAGATGAAATAAGAAACTTCAAAATAAAATTTTTGCAAAAAAAATTACCTCGAATGAAATGTTTTAAAACGAAAGTAATTTAAATCTGATTTACAGTATGAAGCTTGTGTTTCTACAGAGTTCTTTTTTTTTATTATTATTGGCTTATTTAGAATACAGAAAATACAAAAGCGTCTACATCAAATTTTATCAAATAAAACAACAAATGAACGCGAGAATGTGTGTACTGTTGGACATTTATCTAATTGGAATATAATTTAAAATATGTCCATATAGACATTAATGTCCAAATGACACACAATTGAATCGCGTGTCTTTTGGCTATAATTAATATACGATATTAATGAGTTGTATTCATTCTGAATCACGCCGTTACTTAAACTTATATACTGTTTATGTAAATCTAATACCATCAAACAAAGTCCGGACCTCAATCCAATTGAAAATTTATAGGCAATTTTGAAGAGGCGTGTAGAGAAACAGGTTAATATATTGTAGGTAAAAAAAATCAATCAATATTGATGTTTTTCTTGATATAATTCAAAAAGAGTAGGAGGGAATTGAACCCGAAATATTTATTAATTTAATTAGTAATATGTCAGAACAAGTAATTGAGATAATGGTAATAAGATAAGCTATTAATTAAGCTTAAACAATTTTTTCTATAACGATAATAATAAAGAATATATATTTTAATTTTTATGCAATTTCTATTTATTTTCAGAGTATAATAAATTAAAATGTGATTCCGAAAACTTTTTCCGCACACTGTAGCATATTTTCGTGCTCCCATAACTCTGGATTCTTTTATTATCTTCGTTTCTAATTTCGCAAAAATATTCAAAATAACTGTCCTTTTCAGATACACCTTTCCTTTTTCAAAAAAAAAAGATCGTTCATGCTAGGGTTAATATTTGTATTTCGTCTAAATATTTATTCAAACGAAAGTTATGGAATACCCCAGTGCTACATGGTAATTAATTAAAAAAAATTATATTGATAACAGTTCACGAAATTAAATTGGTTGATTGCTTTCTCTTTTTTTTTTGTCGATTATAATTCAACTTTCGGAATTTTGTCTTGTTCTTGGAACAAAAATATCATTAAAATAAAAAACTATTTATTAAAATTTTGAACTTTAATATCTGAAAATTGTAAGTGTAAACAATTAAAAATATATATATATATATATATATATTTCAATTGCCGTTATATCTTGTGAAAAAATTTTTTTTTTAATTTTCATTGAACCCATTTTTATACCCAATTTTTGAGCATTTAAGAGGAAATAATACGGATTTATAAAATTAGAAATGATCGCCAGTAAGTAGCAAATCCAAATTACACAATTAGAAGGATAAATCATTATAAGAACCCATTAGCTTTCAACCAATCTTCAACGTCCTTTGAATCACGCTTCAACCAAGCTGCATTAACGCGAATACTTTCTATGCTCTGTTGTAAATGTCTTTCAAATGCCTTACAATCTTTGTTAGAAAAGAATTTCTCGATATCCGCAATGTCATCCTCAGATGAGAATAATTTAGTACTCAGCCTAATAATGTGTCCAAAAAGAGCACGAGATGCGGCGTATTTTTCAATAAGCTAAACAAAAAGAAATGATTTTTAGCATAATAATATAAAAAATAAGGTATTGCCATGGCATCCGCTGACATATAACGGTGAAAAATAGGATTTCACAACTAAAAACAATTTCGTCTTGAGCGGATTATCCAGCTTCAACTTGTTTTCTGAAGTTGTATTCGGGATAAAAAATAAATATCAACATCTCGACAAATAGGCTCAGTATGCTTAGATAAACGTAATCAAGGAGGGTGTGATGCAGGGAAATAAATCATAACCCTCCCTACGTCTGGCAATATGTCACTGCCCTGTTGATATATGGAACGACGCCATGGCGACAAAATATAATCGTCAAAAAAATAAACATTAAATTCATACCACATCCCAATTGTCTTTAACAAAATTCCAAAGAGGTCTTCGTGACTTGCGATTGAATTGCAAACTATAATTAAATACAATGAATAGAAATATTAACAACTAATATCACACTAAATTTATTACTATAAGAATAAAATCGGACGAAATTTACTTACCTAGTTAATGCGAAAATAATATCTTGATTTTTAACTTCTTCACAAATTGCGAATTTTAATGCACGTTGAATCAAGTCATCGTTCTGAACAAAACCGAGACTTGTCAATGCTTCTGTCCTTTGATCTGCTGTCTTGGCTTCACGATAAGCTTTCAATATAGCTTCAAATTCTTCTTCTCCACCACCATGAGATAAAACGATTTCAAATACAACGCCACGAATATTAGGATGTAAAGCAGACTCATCATTTTGTTTGGTGAAAATATTAAATCTACGAAAAGCTTCTTTAACAGTTCTAAGAGAAAAATTAAATATGTATAAATATCATGTAGAAAAACTTAAGTAAATATTGTTTGGCATATAAATATCATATAGAAAAACTTAAGTAAATATTGTTTGGTATATAAATATCATACTCTGGATCATTAGCTCTACCGGCCATCTTAATAATGAGTGTCCTTAACATGGTGGTCAAATAATCATCACTTTCAGAATATTCCCAGCCTAATTTAGGAACTAATTTAGATAATAATTGACGGTTAAAAGTTAAGAGTCCTTGATAAATTGGTGTGGATTGCTCAAACCAAACGTGAAGTATATTTCCTAAACGACTACTAATCTCTAACCATACACTTTTTAAATAAAGTATGGGTTTAAAGTTAGTGAATTGAAAAAATAATATCGATAGTAAATTACAATGATTTCAAGCTCACATATATTTATCCTCATCTTCAAATTCTTTAATGAAATTCAATAAGCCACTAGTTTTACTATAACCACTTGTTGCTAAAGCGCCAGCATCAGCAATTGCTCCAATACGATCACTAACTTCAAGTAATCCTAGCTTAACTGCTTGTCCTAACTTAGATAGTCGTTCAGGAGTGTAATTGACACGAAAAACGCCAGTTTTGCGTGCATTGAGCTGATAAAAATCGGATGTTTTAAGTGACAATTTCAATGTTGTCTCTTTTTGGGCAAGAACAAAAGACTTCATATCATTTTGAGTTTCAGGCCCAAGGTCGATGCCAAGAGGTACCCACCAATTGGTAGTGTCCTCTTCAGGACTAATTACTCCAGTTGAAAGGAAACGACATTGTCGAATCTCCAAGGTATCAGGTGCCGGTTCTTTAACAGTTAATACCGGATACTTTAAAATGATTAAAAAATAGTTATGAAAAAGTGTTACCTCAAAGTGACAATATGAAAATATATTCAAATTATTTCATTTATACTTACTCCTACCACTCTTGTCCATCCTGTCATAAACTGACCAACATCGCTGCCACTCTCTTCTGTTAGCGCTTTCCATAAATCATCAGTGCTAGCATTACTGAATTCATGACGCTTTAAATATCTTCTAATACCGGATAAAAACACATCCTCCCCGATGAAATTACTTAACATGCGAATTACAGAAGCACCCTTGTAATAACTGATGGCATCGAAAATCTGAGAAATTTCACTAAATACAAGTAAGAAAAAATGTTAAATAATAAACAATATAAATCAACAAGAACACTAAAATTTTATAAATTACCTGGGATCATTTACAGGAACTTCAATAGCATGAGACGATCTTAAAGAATCAAGTTGAAGACCGTACTGGAATCCTTCAGTGACAAATCTATTTATACATGTCATATGGTTAAATTTTAGTATAATGTATAGTATAAAATTATAACATAAGATCTTATACAAACATACTGAGTCCAAATATCCCAATCAGGAAAGATTTTATCAACTGCTAAATATCCAACCCATGTGGCGAAACCTTCGTTAAGCCAAAGATGATCCCACCTACAAATTCATGATTGAAGTTAAAAAATTATAAAAAATCGTAACAAATGTAAAAAGAAAGGGTTATAAAAGTTACCATTCCATAGTTACAAGATTACCGAACCACTAATAATATCAATAATTATATAAATCATATGAAATCAAGACAACTTTACAATGAAAATGATTTTACATACCTGATGTGCCAATTCATGAGACACTG